AAGTAACGGCAGGTGATCATTCAAGCTATCGGAATCCTGAGATATGAGCAAAACTCGGAGTTTCAGGTGAGCTTTGAACCCACAAATATTCTTATCGAGACTTATGCGCTACTTTCTAAAGTAAATGAGGCAGTTGCGTTTTTTACTTTTAGCCGTATTAACGCTATCGGTGTTAGCAGTAATTAACCGTTAATGAGGCTGATGTAAGGAGTGCAAATCAGCATTGAACCCGAATAACCTGAATTCTAACGGTTCACCTATCAATCTACTTGTTCGTTTCACTTAATTTGCTTTCTTTTCTATATTTTATTGAGGCCAATAAAGCGCGAATTTGTATCTTCATCTATTGACAAAATGACTAAAATTTATTAAGCATAGAAAGATACTAAGGAAAGCCGGATAGGGATGTAGAAGAAAAACGGAGAATATAGAAGGCTGGGTTCTCCCTGAGAGGACTGGCTAAGACGAAAGGTACTGTGCTATTGACAAGACTGTGCAAGGCCGAAACACGTAGATGGCATTGTATAAGTGATCATAATAGACCATAAGCATGGATCAGAAATAATAACAGGCATATTGAAATTTGAGTGTGCTCTAAGGAAATGCTCGAAACGGCAGGAATATTTAACGTGCTAATATAGGAAATGCAGTGGACTGCACTAAAGTAATCAGCGGGAGACCTAATAGAATGACTAACCTAATTTTTTGCTTCAATACCCATTTTTCATATCATTTTTTCCCTGTAATTTTTGCTGTTGTAAAGCATCTCGACATTCAACGCAGGCAGTTATCACTCTGCTGGTGATACAGTGAACTTTGGGCATTTGTATTGTACTTTTACTGGTAACTAATCTATCTTTCATCGTTTTATGCATTTTTCGTTTTATGCATTTTTGCATTTGCATACTTTCCTCAATTTCTTTTTTTCTTCCTTTTAACTTTTTTCATCTCATTCATATCATCCTCAATATTTCTTTTTTCTAAATTCCAAATTTAAACTAATTCTAAATTTCTCAATATTGACGACCTTGTCTGGCCAATGTGACGTGGATATAAAGGTACATTAGAGGGCCACACCTTCGTCTCGTAATCATCTACTATTAATTATTACCATCATCTAGCGAAAGTGATAAATGATAATAGCAGTCATTATTAGTGTTCATCCTATACGTGGGAGGAGGGTGGTGGCTAGTAATCAAATATATGATGTGTTTTCAACGAACGGCGGCATCTTCTACATCCAATATCCTGCCGATGACATCACGGTATCAAAAGTGCAGTGCCTTATTGAAATTAATTTTAGTTAATGATTTCAATTAACATTAAAGTCGTATCCACTTCACTTTAATAAATATTTAACACGTTTCATGATTTCTTGTGCTGTAAAATGAAAATAGAGCGAAAAAAATGTTATGAACATTGAACAATTGAAAACAACCACAGTTTTCAATCACTGTAGGTACTTCCGGCTATTATTATAGTGAATATATTCGATTGTTCGTCCACAAAACACCAGGGAATTATCTACTGTAGCCGTTCGCTTTCCTAATAGCTTTTACACTTTATTTAATTAAAGAAAGTGACGCATGCACAGAAGCTCTAATGCATCTCTATTTACAGAAGTAGTTGATGTGGACGGGGGATTAGAATTTGGTTATGTTACATTTCTTTATCGGTCATTGTTCAATCAATCACATATACCGTTTTGATCCAAGAAGAAGTCGTAATAAGGAAGTTCAGAAGAAGTTGAGGACATTAGCTCAGTTTCGATCAACAAAAGCAGACGACTGCCTACGTAAATAACTAAGAAAAATTTGGCACGATTATCTTGGAATTCCAAGTAAACTCAAGCTAATTCAATATTGAAGATGAATGGTATTGAGGAGGAAGACGACGACTTTTCCAATTAATGGCCGAAGCCTTACCAGAAACGAGCCAAATTTACATATCACATGTGCTAGATACTGAGACGAATAATAATGTTGATGCTAGTGAGTACAGTGCATTTAAGAACGGCGAATAAAGATTTGAGTACTTACATTATTTCTGTGATAATGGAACCATATAAAGAAGATGGTTTGTTAGATCCAGCATTTTTTGAACATTATGGGACAATATGGCTCAAATATTTTTACTCAAATGAAGCAAACACTAGCACTGTCGCGTTGCCAAGTAATGGATTTCGGCGTTGGATCCTCGACCGGGCATCCTACTAGTTGATTCGGAAATGATGTTAGGCCGAAATTAAAAGTAGAAGTAGAAAAGAAAATCAACCGACTACTCACGGATGATGTAGAAGCCGATTTCATATTCAGTTTTGTTTTATGGAAATTGAGAAAGGATGTTGCCACTGTTGAAAAGACAAGGAACTGGTGCTAACCCCGGTATCGATCCTATTAGTATGTTAACATGTTCCGGACGTGAACACTATAGGGTCCATACACGATAAACAGTCTCTCAGATTCCGGCCTATAAGTACTGTCATTTTCCGGTCTATATTTGTTTTCATCTTCCTTCCTTTTTTGGGAGAACCGAGCAACACAATGAGTGTTTGAAGAAACCAGCTACCGTGCTATTTTGTGCATGCAACAGGAAATATACATAGGACCTGGTGCATATGGATTTCGTACTTAAGTCAAATGGAAAAAACGCACCGTTCGGCAAGTGTGAAGTGGGAAGCACTGTAAAGTTTATAGTGTAACTTTGAAAAACTGATTATTTCTATATACTATTATGAGGAGGTTATGGAGAAATTCATCAGTCTTTCAGACACTGAGGAATTCGTGGTCCAAAACACTAGGCACCTTAATGAAACCGTGGAGCTGATAATTCCATATCAGTCCATCAAAAACATAAGGATTTCATAGGCGACAAGTATGCCTAAGTTTTGTTTAGGGAACCGTTTGTGACAACATCCAGTTTTCACCTAGCACAGAACGCATTGAAAATTCTGATCTTAGAAATGTTTTTGCATAATTATCATAACATCTGGGTTTGGTAATTTATTGATCAACTACAAGAAATCTATTAGTTTATCTTTATGAGAAAATGAGTCGATAGAAAGATTGTGCATTCAAACCAATCCCTACGATCAGCACTATCCACTCTCGTGCGCACTGAAGCCAGTGCATATGGTCACTTATGTGATAAGTCCTTTGTTCTTGCGCATCTCTTCTCTCCACATTCTTCAGTTTTTTCAATTTTGAACTTCCCTTTTCTTCCAATTGTTATGGTGTTCCCATTCAATGCTATGCCTTTTTTTCTTTCTTCTGCTTTCTCTTTTATCTTCATTGTTTTACTGATGCATCCACACTTTCTTCGCACTCTTTTCATCTATTTGTTCACTATTTCCTTATCTCATTTTTCTTTCTGTTTTATTTCTAGCTCTTGTAGCGTTATATTTCTCTGATATGGGTTTCATGATCAGTGCTCGTAGATCTCTTCTATTTATGGTTGACTCATTTCTTCCACGCAAACATCAATTCTCAAAGAGGCTACAAGGTCGCATTTGTATTATTGTGTAGCATGAGATCCTCTTTCGTCGGCGAACTAAGAAACCGGATGTTTGTCGTCTCCCAGTAGGAATTTACTGTGAGAAATCGGAGAAAACACGTTAAAGGTGAATTGAAGAACCGAATTCTCTGTTTAACGATCTATCTGAATTTCATATGACTCACACTTACGATGCCATTTGTGTCAGTTACATTCCGAAACTACTTCGTGTCCTGCGGATGTAAAAAGGATACAGAGAACATCACTATTTATTCAACTAATCTCTGTTATTGGCGATGAATTAGCTAAAATTAATCATGAAAAGCCAAATTAAGGGTAAAATGAGATTTGAGAAGCTTGCGATGCTGTTGACGGCAATAACAACAATAGGCAGATATCCATCGGTTTTTTTTTGCATGAAGGCGTTAAAATGAGAGTACATCTTCATGGATTATTTGGTTCTATCAAGTTTCTATTTGTTGCTGGGAAAATATGACTGATGACCTAGTAACCAAGAATCTTACCCTTTTTTCTACTTTGATTTCCCCAAACGGTGTTTCTAAATTTGACTAACGGCAGTGATCTTACATGGATTGACTTTTCAGAGTTTTATCGATAGACCTGACATCTTCAGCACTTCAATAAACATTAGTTTTCACTCTCTTATATGTCCAGAGATGCTATCTCAACTCTGAACTTCAGACGGAAGTTGACCTCACTTTTCACCTTTGCAAGGGCGAGTGCTAACCACTACACTACCAAGATCCTTTCTCTCTTTGCTGTAACCTTTTTTTAGAAAATTCTATCAAGAAGTTTTCACTTAGAAGTGACCTAGAAGTGAAATTTTTCCACTGTAAATTTGGCTCTTTTTGGCGATAAAATAGAGCATGTATTTTATGCTACTCTCGTCTTCGTCATCTCTACATTCGTCCTTCGTGGATCGGAAACACAGCTAATGGAAAGTGAACTTTCAAACGGATATGAGACACGATGAAGACAGAACTAGCACTGGATAGAAGAATGAACAATAGTCAGAAACGGACCTATTAATGACATTTCTCATTGCCACTAAGAGAACGAAGTGGAACACGATGTCACGAGCTGTTATATTCTTACTTGAGTTCACAAAAAGTACGTTTTCATAGATCACTCAAATTTCAGCTCATTTTCCATGTGATCACCACCCATGTTAATCTACATTGTGCACTTCAACTATTTGTGCGTTGTGTTTCATAAATCATCTGAAGCTACGAGTACAGGAGTTGATGTGGAGCAAAGATTCTCAAGTGTCATATTCACTGAGAGTGTCCTCCTGGAGCCACTCGATCATTTTCTTCTCCCATTTGCAATCAGTCTCACTGAATGACAAGATCATCGATGACTTGTTTTGCAACAATTTTTCTATCTGAATCTTGAAGAAAACGAAACCCAACATGTTCTGAACTACGTGGTTTGGCTGGATGTCTTGGACACCAGCTATATTGTAGAGTAGAAAGGTGTCAAAACAGGTGCTGGTAGTGCAACGGTAGCGTATCATGCCTCGGATAGCGTGAAATGTGGGTTGGAGTCCCAGCTGACGCAAAAATTTTACACATCACTCTTCCTTGATGGGCATTTTGATTATAGTTGTTCCTGGTTTAGGTAAAAATTCACGTATACGTCGATGACGAAAGATTTTTTCTACTATTATTTTTCGTCTTCGTAGATTGTGCCGCTCTATAAATGAAATTTTCTGTTAAATCTGCTATGTAATCCCTACATTCGTTTTCTCAGTCTGTTCCGCCAAATCTTTCACTTTCTTAGTTCCACGACCGCATACCTGCACTGTCAACAGTATGGATAGTTTATCCAAATCTTTATTAATCCAAGCGATTGAGTTCTTTTTCGAATACACTGACAAACAAGTCCATTCTTTTGATCGCCTTCATGAGCTTTTTGAGCATCATCTATGCTGCGCTAATACGTTTGGGAAAACCCAGTCAGAAAATCTGTCTGTAACGGGTTTCTACCAATGGAGTTTCTGTCACAATCAAATCTTTTATTGGCTGCAGTGCCGCGGTAAGCGACACAGGTGAAATGTCGAACCTGTTTGAACAGTTCTATGAAAATGTTAACCAGACGAAGAAAAAGTTTTTTGCCATATTCAATTATGAAATCATTTGGTCATGAATTCCTCATGTTTTTCAGTGTTTTACTCCATAACTCAGCTTCTCCCTAACGCTATCGTACAAACACGTAAGAATACATTAGCTCGGCTATCATCAAGATTTAAAGACATTTAACTCGACCAACATCTTGTGATAAAAGGAAATGACGATAAACCACTCGGCGTTGATAAATGCCTGAATGATGTGCCATGCATTCGTCTCCAATTTTTGACTTCGTTTGAGATGTATGCGTATCTGACTAGTACAATGACTCGCTGTGGCCTCCCGCTGTATCGAGCAGTCTTCCTTATCCTCTCAGACAAGTCGGAGACCACTCCGGTACCCATTTACTCCAACCGCGGAGAGATGAGACCTTGGTGAGCCATGAGCGCGGAATCAAACCATCGATCTTGAATACGACACAGAGCATCTCTGAACATTGCGTCACATGCGCTCTATATCCTATGATATGCATAAAGAAGAGTGTATCTCAGGCAACAGTTGAAAAAGATACACGAAATCTACGGAGACATTTAGGACGATGAATGTGTAGAAACGACTCGGATGTAAGATGTGTTGGGATCCGTACAGTCTATGTGATGATAGGTTATGTAAAATGAAAATGAGTTGAAATTACTGCTTACTTGAAGCTGTGAAGACGATTTTCGCTTCTATATTGTCAACAGACTTTTGCTTTCTCCGGCCTAATCAGCGGACTTTTGACACTTGTTTTGCTTTGCAGAATCTTTGCCGCTGTCTGACGGCCTGTTGATCTGTAAAATCCTATGTTGAAAATATTCTGCCAAGGTTGCGAAAAGTATGTTGCTTGTAGAACTGCCGTTCTTTTCCCGCTCTGAATAACAACTCGGGTTCCTTTGAGAAAAAGGAAATGTTCTTTCAATAATATCGCGTGATATGCAAGACTCTAAACTTTAAGCAGAAGTTGAAACCACGCTTCACCTTTGGCAAGAACGCGTGCGAGCACCATACCACCGAGGCCACTGCTCTGAGAGCTTTTTCAGCAGAAATTTTAAATGTGTTATAGAAGCTTTCGTAAGGAACGCTGGGTAGCATTTCATTAACCAATTCCATACGATGACAAGCGGTTATCCAAATTCTGTTTTCTGCCAGTATAGCTAATAGCGAGCCTCATCTTGCAACAGTAGTTCTTCGACAGAATCAGTTTTATTCTTCCTACAATGGTTATTTTCACTGTAACATTGAATATTCTGTCATTAACTTCTAAAATTGATGACTGATGATATACAACTTTAAAATTCAAGCACAAATCGAATATCTCAGTTCATTTTTTAGCCCTTTGAAGACAAAACCTATTTCGTTTCTTCGTCTAGCTTTCAATAATCATTCGATAGCTTTAATATCATAAATTACAACACTATACTTTGTTATTGAAAAGACTTTTTAATGCATTGTAGCAGTGAAAGTGAAATTGACTTTCTTATGTCGTCGACTTCTCTGCGTAAAGTATAGATGTATCCTTGAGGAACTGACTGAACGAAAAGACACCGAGCGGCTGACGGGGCTGCAAGGCCGAAACACGTGTATTTCACTGTGTAAGTGCCTATACACGTGCATAGCTCAAAAGCAATTGTTAAGCAAATTGAAAATTGACTTTTATAACCGGCGCGCAGTTTTGCTGCATGATCCTGCTACAGAATTTTAGTAGTCAGTTAATAACTCAGATATGAGTGATTTTGGAGAGCAAAAAAGAATGCGTTTCGCACTCTGAAGCATAAGCTTAGGCTTAGTAGCTGGTTATTACAAAATACAAATTCAAGCTTAAAGTCTAAGCACATAGAACAATAGAACAACATTTCTTCTACAGTTCAAATACAAATGCCTAGAAATTTCTCTGAACCAAAGCAAAATTCTCAGATACCATAAATAACGAAAGTAAGCGCGAGAATGCGCGCTGAGTGTGAACTACTACAACATACTAAGAAGGCATTTTCAGAAACCAAATGTAGTATTAAGATCATTGAGATTTAATCTGTTGAATATCTACAAAAAGTCTCAAAAAAAAGAGAAAAATCCTTGTTCAAAAGGGTCGAAAATGGATAGTGAAAGCAATTCATACCTAGTCTTCCTTTTGTCTCACATTATGTTGGAGAATGAGTGGTAGGACGAGTGTACCTCGGTGGTGTATTGGTAGCACGCGTCCTCCGGTATGGATGAAACGCTGGTTCGACTCCAGTCTGAGGCCGTACTTTTGCTCACCACTCAATTCTTTCGGTGATATATGAAACATCAAAACTTTGCGAAAAAATTCAGTGAAAGTACTGCGAACTTTGAGTATTAGTTATTACAATGGCTGTCAGCTTAAATTGGTTTTTAGAGCGGAATCGCATACCCGACTAAACCTGTTGAAGGTTAGTGGTTGAGCTGACAGCTAATATAGAGATCTTGAAAAATGAGTGGCGCGGCCAATGTACCTCGGTGGTGTAATGGTAGCACCCGTCTCCGTTATGGATGAAACGCGCGTTCGATTCCCGTCTGAGGTCATATTTTTTCTCACCACTCAATTCTTTGAGGGGTATATGGAACATCATAACACTGCGAAAAAATGATACACTTTTTATTTAACCGCTTATAGCGGTGTATGATGTTATAAGTATGTACCCATAGATGTAGAGCGATGTGCAAAACTTTCACGTCAGGCGGGGCTAGAACCCGCACCTCACTTTTTCCAGGACTGCGTGCTCTATCCGTTACACTACTAACACCCATCTTACACATCGCTCTTTCTTCGCTATAGCGCTGAGCGATTTGTAAGATGGGTGTCAGTAGTGTAACGGATAGAGCACGCATTCTTGGAAAGAGTGAGGTGCGGGTTTTAGTCCCGCCTGACACGAAAGCTTTGCACACCGCTCTACATCTATGGCTACTGCGAAAAAACGCAATAAAAATACTAGAAATTCCGAATAGCAGTTATCACATTATAGTTCAGAAATGGTTAGCAGTACTTTACTATACGACTGAGTCGCATATGTTATGTCTGGGAAGCCCTTCAAAAGTAACTCGTAGCCAGCGATCGAGTCCTCTCTTTGTATCGAAAGATTACCCTGATTAGGTTGACATACATCGATCTATCCGCTCAGTTTAGATTGATATAAGTTCGCAAGAGAGAATTCTTTATGACTGTCATGAAGCTAAAGAGGAGAAGTTTACTTCTGAAGGATTTTTGTCATTCGCTATAGATGTACGCTTATTTTTAGGCTTTTTAACGCACAAGGTACCGTATGATCCCAACGGTTGTCATGAGTACGGTAGTTGTGGTCTTTCATAACTATTAAGCCTTTTTTAGCCTCTCTCTCAGTTTGCAAACCAAGCATTGTAGCGATCTTATGAAATTTGTCGCCATGTCTTTACTGACTACTTGGTAAATATTCAAATGCGGCCCAGTAGTCGGTCGTTGCGTTAGGTGTTAAATGAGGTATTGAACTTCTTTGTGACTATACATTCTGTTTGGGGTAGTATCCACAGAGCGCTAACGCTTTACATCTAGAATATATATATATATATATATATATATACATATATACTTGTAAATACACGTGTATGTACATATGTGTGTAGCTGTATATTCACAAATATATACAAATACATATCAAGAAGCGCTTCATTCAATTCAGTTTATTGTTTTAGATGACGACGGCGACGTGATCGACGATGAGTTTCTGTTTAGTCTTTTTGTAGCTCATCAATGGTTGGTCGAGAGTACACAGCTTCTCGCGCAGTTCATCGTATGTCTTCAGGTTAGGTCAGACCTATTCGATCTGCCAAATGCTTAAAACTATTCAGTTTACTAGGATCATTCTATCTTCTGAGCTTATCGAACTTTACTTCCTTGGTTTAGTGAATTTACACAAAATTATTATAAAATCTTTGTACTTTCTAAAGAAATCTTCGAAACTTTCCATTCTCTTCTTGTCCGCATTAAGGTTTCCCATTTCTTTCATTACATAGTAGTTCCGAAAGCTAGGACGTGGTATAAGAAACTGCTCTGAGTTTATCGTTTTTTTAGAAAGACATCCAATATTCGACTGGAACACACTGTATAGGATTTTCAAATTATGATATTCTATAGATTATTTTTGGAAAGATGCGCTTATGTGCAAATGTGTTGAACCTCTGTGTATCATTCGTAGCTTGGCTGGCCATCACACCAAAATCAGTATTTATTTAGTGATCACTAATCAATTTGAATGCGGCACTGATTTCTTGAGATCCCTATTTTATTCTTTAGTTACACAAAAGAGGAAAGGTCCCAAAATAGTTGGAAAGGCTTTAAACAGTTGGATTCAAAATCCCAATTGAACAGATCAAATCGTATCGAAATCCGTAGGCACGGCTGCTAAAGGGTTACTATCTACTTTTTTATTGATAAGCTTGCTCGAGGTCCTGCTGCAGATT